CCCCCCCCCCCCCTCTCATATCAGCAAAATAAAAAAAAATAAATCTTAGAGCCCAAGATTTATGTATTAGAATCCCACAAATGTATGCAGCCTCTTAGCCTCCTACACGTCCATTCTTCATGCAGAGGCATAGCTTTCCTCAAACCATTACACACTGGTTGACATTTACAGAGGAGTATTTATCTCAAAAGCACTGACCAGTAGCTTCATGTGACTATTCATTTCTCAAGATGATAAAAGTAGTATTATTAATGAAAATAAGCTTAGGTGAACCTAGAGAACGTAGACTGATTTTGCTTTTAAAACGGCATTACAATATTCCACGTACTTGGCTTACAATGGCAGCGTTGCCACACAGTTGTTTCTTTTCCTTGGTCTTCTCTACTCAGGAAAACTAGCAGACAGTATAGTACAGGAGCAACAATCAACTGACTACAATCAACATCAACTCCCTTCCTCGGAATTAAAATTGAAAATGGATCTTCTACCTGCAGTTATTACTCTAGCTTCAAAATTTCTGCGCTGGGCATCAGTAATGCTAACAGTAGTGAGTACTTTCATTACTGCTGTTATAAAACGTGATGCCTTTGAGCTTCATAATCCAGACCTTTATCAAGTCTTCTCGCTACACTATTCACTTGCTAAATATAATAGATCGTGAGAATTGCTATTTTTCTGCTTAGCTAGATCTCCCAGTGTGATCTGTCATAAGCATAAGAACTTCTATGGTGCTCGTCTGTCTCGGCTGTGTTTTGTTACTGTCTCTCCGAGATCCTGAGCAGGGAGTACTAGCACCCATCACGGGAGTCTCATTAGCATTCAACTCATCATTTCTGTTTAAGCAGCTATTCCATTTTGGCAGTTAATCCACCTTTATCATTCTATCATTCATCAATATACTAACTTGAAGATTAACACAGGTCATAAAATGCAGCTGCGAAGTTTGTTCACAATACACTGGTTCCTGGTACACAAGCCACCCACTTCTTTCTATTTAAACCGAATGTGAAGAGTACAGTAAATTGCCTCCCACTTTATAGCAAAAGTGTTTCAGAACAGCTCCTGTGTGCCGAACTACTCCTGAAAGGCATTCATGCATTTTACAACATAAAACAAACAAAAAAAGAAATGGCATATATATGTATAAAAGTCCTGGTTGTAATAGTTACCAGAAGCAAAGCCATGACCTCTAAAAGTGCCGCAGCACAGGGGTGTTGGTTCATCCTACTGAAGAGAAGCGATTAAGACCCTGATAAACATAACTGACAGTAGTGGGCTAGGCTGATTTAATAACCTGTTGTGGTTGTATTTTAAAATACATGTCCCTTTCTTATCCATTCCTCAGTTTCCACCTCTTTCTGCACTGATTTACCTAAGAAAATATTACCTCCAGACCAGACAGCATAGAGATCAATGATTCCCGAGACAATGCACCATTCTTTACTTCAAAAGGAGGAATTACGGCTGAAAATACATCCAGCAGAACGTGACTGCAGTATTAGCGTTCACCACCATGGGAGTGCCTGGAGGTGCAGTAACCCCTGGGATCAGAAGGGCCCCCCAAGCTGACGCAGTTACATCTTAACTGGAGAATGGGAATGGCCTTCACCACCCATCTAGTAACATCTTTAATGTACGGGCTTCAAAATTCTATCCACTCTTCAACAATATCCAGAGATGAAAGCAGAAAAGTTTCTCTCATTAATTACAGACAGATAAACATACTGGATGCCTGTAATCTTTGGTATCCAGAACTACTCTCTACCTACACATTGCCAGCCTCCTCCTCTTTCTCTATTTCAGTGTCTACACAATCCAGCTGCTTTGCTAGCATCTTGATGCGCGCTTGACAGGTACTCAGCTTGTCTCTGCAAGAAACAAACGCGTTATTTATATTTTGTAAGATCTTTACTCTTTTCAATGAAACTCTTCCTTCTGGAGGCAAGATTCACAGCTCGGATTCCTTCAGCTCTCCCAACTCCCCACCACCATCCCACTTTTTCTCTTTTTTACTACGAGGTTCTTCAGAAGCCCCTGTTCATTTCAAACATTTTCTCCAAAAATCCAGAAAAATGTAACAAGAGTTTATTCTGATCTCATCCACAGTTCATAGACTATCAAAAATTACAACATAAATGATATCTCTTTATATGAGCCTCCTTCAGATATTATTTGCTGCTAAAGAAAATCTTTATGACCTTAACACGGCAAAACATTCACAGCAAGTGCTTCTCTTCAAGTATGCAAGTAATTTCACCGACTCTAATGTACAATTTCCATCACAGGTAAGAAAATGTTTGCAATGAATTTTCCACTTGATGTTTCCAACTGACTGTTGAACCAGCAGGACTGTGCAGACACCGCTGAAAGGAATTGCCATCTAATTCTCCCAGATCAAACATCTCTTCTTTAACATTCGTACTGTATTTCATTTTTTCAAGCATGTAATTAATTTTTATCCTTGATCCTTAATTCTTTACAAGGGCTTGGGAATATATTGAATACATTACATTAATCACATGTTTGCATCATGTCACTTTCATAAAAAAATAATCTATAAACTCTAATATAAGAGGTACTGTATCCCAGTATTTGACAGTGATTTATGCTGATGGATTACATTAACTTAAACACTAACCTGGCTTTTTGGACCACAAGTTCCTTTTCTGTGGCTATGTCATTGAGCTCTTTCAGGTTCCTCTGTAAGGTTAATAGGCAAATTCTATCTGTATACTTCATAGCCTGAATATTATTAATGTTGTCCAAATCGTGTTCCAAGCTTGCCCTTTGAATTGAAACACACAATTAACAATGAAACCATCATGAGAAATTGAAAAATTAGGTGAAGTTCGTACATCATCCACTTAGGTATTTGTGGGTTGGTTTTTGTTTTATTCTAGCACAACTGTTACAAATATGACCAGTGTAAATAAGGGAAAAAAAATGAACATCATCTGTACAAGAATTTTACATAGAAGCACTGAAGAGTTTTAGACTTGGGTGTCTAATGGTGAACATTTACACCCACATTTAACACATTAATTATACATCTTTCTCCTGAAATGCCTGGGGCTCCTCTTGATTATACCCAGGGTTTGCACATTCTAGTTTTCCTGAACAATAGTTTAAAACTTGAAAGGGAACTTTCTAAACTAATTTAAAACATATTATATACAGCTGCTGTTTGTGGGGTGAGCTAATCTCTCACCATTTGGTCTGCTTAAACATACAGCAAGAGGTCTGAAGGTTTGTGTTTGTTTTTTTTGTTGTTTTTTTAAAATCATTTTGGTGTATTCTGAGTTTCTCTGTTGATAACGGTAACACTGTCAACATTTACTGGCAGTAGGCATATGTGCTATGCAGCTTCCCACATACACGTATTAATAAACATTATTTTTGCTTTTCATCATGCTTTATAACCCTGTGCCAGGTCATTCCAGGGCAGAGATTAACAGTCTTGTCAAAGTAAACCAAACCGTGCCTTGATCTTTGTGAAGAGAGTAGCACCTACTTAACGCCACATTCAAACCACTAAATTCCTTTTCATGCCCGACCTCTGTTACATATAAATTTATTTGTTCAAGCATAAATCCACTGTACCACCTACTTGTAAAATCAATGTAGTATTAATCTTATCATCGTACCAATTCTGTGCTGTCCTTACACAGTGGTACAAAACTCTGTATATATTTAAAAAATTAAAACCCAACACTGATATTCTTCAGCAGACAAACTTCTCTTTTTCCAACACCTCCTGACGTTCTACAATTTCAGAGGAATACGAACACAACACCAGGTATTATTACAAAGAACTGGCTGGGTTTTAGAAGTGTAAACAGGTTGGTGTAACACTCCTTTGAGGAGAGCCGATTAGCTCACTTTAATGTGCTGAAATCATGGTATTATGTACACCCCTACAACAGCTTCAGATTAAAGAGTGTCCCGAGTCCGTCTTTATCTTACTCAGCTCATTATTTTAACAATAGTAAGATTGTGGAAATGTTTATATTGCCTACAACTAATTTGACAAAAAATGCATAGCTGAATTAACCAAACCTTCTGCTGAAAAGGTAAGTTAACACTATAAAGGAAATCACTGTCAGAACTGGGAATAAGTCCTTTACGTGGTAGAATCAGATTTGCCTCCAGCTCCTTCAGAAGCATCCTTGTTTCCCATCGTGCCAGCACCATCCAACTCTTCCTCAAGCGTGTATTCTAATAGATATAAAACCAACAGTTTAATTAGGAGACTTGGAACTTTAAAATACAAAGCTCTCGTATACTTGCTGTTAAGTTAAACCATGGAGAATCAGAGATGGTATTGCAGCATCTACCAAATAATTCGTATGGTGAAACACACAGGACTGCTAGCATACACCTGCAAACCAGAACAGGAAAGTGCTCCCTGCCTTCGTGAGGGAAGTGTCACCAACAATCTAATATATATGGGGAAAAAAACAAATGAAAATGGGGGCAGGTGGAAGGCTAATGTAGTGACAGGTTTTGGCCAACAGTCTAACAGGTTTATCTTATATTACCTTATGCTACTGTACTGTGAAAATAGAATTTTTTTAAAGTATTGATGCAATCAAAATTGCAATAAAAATAGCCTAAGAACTCTTTTTAACTTAAAGATCAGTATTCAGTGCTACACCACACACGATAATCTGTAAAATGGTAGACGTGTTGCCTCACATACTATACTGACACATACTTCTGGACACAGAGAAACCAGCTGCCTGTTAAGAGTTATCTGGTGCCAGTTTAGATGTCTTAGAGTTGAATCTGTGGAAGACCTAGACCGTTCTGGAGTCAGATGAGAGTCTAGAGCACTTCACCTGGCACTAGGTGCCAGTGTATGAGCAACTGAATCAAGTCCATGCAGTCAAGTATTGGATTTTTACTGATAACTCTGAATCAAAATGCCTCACAGAGGTAGGAAGTAGAGAATTTACAGCTACAGAAATAAAGGGTTAGATCTGGATTAGCTACAGCTGTGTAATGTAATGCTAGAGAACACCTACAGGAATCACTGTATTTACGTTTTGCATGGAATATCATTCAACCCTTGAACCGTTCCCATCTACTGATTTAGAAGACACATTAATGTTAGAGTTTTTTATGAGTTATCAAAACAATTAATCATTTTCACCTTCCCAGTGTTCTTCCACATTAGAGAACTGACCACCTTTGTCTTCGTTTTCTTCCAGAAATGATAGAAGAGATTTTTGCTCTTCTTCCTCACTGTGACCAACCTCATTATCTTCCATACTGACAGTTCTTTCAAATCAACCAGGCTACGAAAAAGAAGAGTGCACGTTTTATATCAACAATCTCCAAGAACTTGCAATAGTGGTGATATATTTTGAGATAAATCAATAGCATTCAGTAAATACTTGATGAGTATGAAATAACTAGATACCATCACACACCTTTGTACTAGTCACACATTTTAAGTATCAACTTTAATAAATTTCTTCTAGAAAAGAGAGGACTCTTCCATTTTAATATTTTTTTTTAAAAGCACTGATCAGTAATAAACCTTCTGAATGTATTTTATCTACTTAAGCAACCACTCTACCCACAAGGATTAGGGAACAACTCCCACCAACACTACTCGCTCTTGTGTCTTGCGCAGACAGATAATCCCTCCACGTTAAGTAAACCGTTCCCAAGGGTTGATATAATTCATTAGAACTCGAGTCAGTTCTGACATCTAGAATGAGTTATTACCACATGGTTGAGCATTTCATCAAGATCTTACTCATACAGAGACTCGTACGCAGGATTAATCTGAACGAAGGTGGTGGCTCAGCTTTGAGCGCGTTTATGTAAATCCTGTTTGCGGGACTCAAAAACATAACCCAGAGGAGCGCGTGTACTAGTTAAAGAGCCAAGCAAGCACACCGTGGAACTAAAGTATGGAACGGGCTACCTAAACGACAAGAACCACCATGAAACCAAGGCGATTCCCGCGCGGGGCTATGGTGGAGTTGAGGATGAAAAAGCAGCACGGCCACAACCCGAGGGGCTGCAACCGCGGCCGCTGCGGGCGAGCGAGGCCAACGGCCGCGGCACGGGGCAGGCC